ACTTATTCGCACCCCTGCCACGCCCTCCGCCGTCATCCCAGTCGATGCACGTGCAAGCATCCATCGCTGTTGAAAATCCACGGCAGCCCTGCCGCCAACCAATCTCCTCCCCCACTCAACACCACGCCTCCGTCGCCGCAGCAGCCTCAGCCCCGACGTGCCAATGGCAAAGAAAAAAAGGGAAGAAAATATCTGCGCGGCGGATCCTCACAATGCTCCTCCAGCCAGCCCAGGCCAGCGCCGCTGCGGCCTGGCCACCGCTGCCGTTTGACAAGGCCACGAACGGCAATGCTCCTCCTATTGGCTGCAACAGCCCACACTGGTCCGGAGACGCATCTCCCTCCGTTCCCATTTCCATTTCCATGTGAAATACGTACCGTATCGTATCAGGAGCTAACGGCACTTGAGCACCACATAAACGACAATTCCAATATCGAAACTCGAATCGATTCCCTCTCTCCGTGGACTGCGATCATGCCTGTACGTCAATATACCGTGATATCCGGACAGACCCTGCTCGACAGCAAAATGTCATCAGTGCTTGCTGATTGGGCATTGTATATATCTGGAGAAAAATGGAGCACAAAAGCTTGCCTCGCAACAAATATGGACCATACCGCAAGCGCATAACGAACATCTCCACTTGTCTTGCGTGGGGCGGAAGCGGAAACAATATTCCACTCGAACATCGCTTACTGCAAATAATCCAAATCTGCCGATACTCATCCAATGGCGAACAGGATCCCACATGACGCAATCCTTGCAGATTGATCGCCAAATCGCTTACTAGGAGTATGATATGCTCGTGATTTTGAAGGAAGAAGAACAAGCGCGCGCAAGAGTCAACGGTTATCAAGATCCCCACGAAATTACGTGCGGCCGCCGGCCACCCGTCGCAGGGTCTTCGATCCAGAGCAGAAGTGGGCCTAATCCACTCATCGCCTGTAGGTCCGTAAGCCGCGGCAACTTGTTACTAGTCGAGAGAGAGTCTACAGCGGGCATGGAGCCACACGAGTCTGGCTGCCTGAAGCAGAAGAGGAAAACTGAGTCAAACGGCTCTAGACCATGTCCATAATTCCTAAGCAGAAACCCCACGCGGCACGCTGCATCCGCAACAGCACCCGCCTTCGAGACGGGGACGGTAGCTACACCCAAGCATTGCTGAGATACACTCATCTTTTCGTATACAAAAAAACGGTTCTTTTTAGGAACCAAGAGCCCAAAAAGGATCCATGTGCATAGCCGAAGTGCCACAAACTGCTGCACAATCAGCCACATTGGCATTGCTTGTCTTGACCCGACGTATCTGCGAGGCGTAGGTATACGACATGCATGCAGGCGCTGGCCTGTCAGGTCGCGTGCTCACCTACCTATACAAGCAAGGACTACGTTGCAGGGATCCGGAGATTTCTACATAAGACATGGTGCATATGCAGCTGCCATCACACAGCCGGAACGGACATCGTTCCACTGGCGAGGCCGACGCCGCCCACGTGGGTGCTCTGGATGGTGAGCGTTTCATTTCAGACACTGGCAAGTTACGGCACTCTGCATTGCTCGCGTTTTAAACTGCACGCTCGGTGCTGTGCCGATGGATTTCGATCGACTCATAGTTGAGGCTGGCGGGGCTCGTCTGACGCTGAAGGATGCGCTTGGTCTGGATTGCCGTTGTCGTACGACATGAACACTGAACCATTACAACAGCACCAATGCGGATACGCTTAATCGGTTGATTAGGAATGCAGCTGGATATTCAACTACCTGTAAAAATGAACTTGCAATCAGCAGCATGCGCAACGTTTGCCTAGGTTAACATGAGTATCAATTGCAATCCTACATGCATATGCGCGCAGAAACACTCAATGCAACGCACAATGTACAATGTACATACACTTCCAACTTGCATGCCACGTCTCTCTCTGTCCCATGTACCATCTCTGTTATCTATCTCTTGGCCCAAAAGCAAGACTCCAAATCTATACACCTCATCTTATCTCTAAACTCTATCCTCCACTCCTCCCCTCACACGTCGGTACTTCGTCATGCACCCAAGAAAAAGGCGCGCGGTGAAGACAACATCCAGCACCCAAAAACATGCTTGCGATAACAATGCAAGCCACAAAGATGCGCTGGCACATTACCATTGCCAAAGGAAAAAAAAAGTTGGCCAGCAAAGACATTTGGAATCAATTAAGCCATCATAACCCAAATCTTGACTCCCTCACCGCCCTCTTTCCTCTTCCCATCACTCCCCACTTTACCCTGTCCAAACGTATGCTCCTCCAGCACCTCCATTCCCAAATGCTTATACACATCCCTGCCATTCTCCGACGTGGCCTCCAGCACAACCGGCCAGCCCTTCTCCTTTGCCATCTTGAGCACCGGTCTCATCACCTCGCTGACTTTGTGATTGCAACTCTTGTCATTGGAGGGATGCTCACGGTAGTTTCCCAGCAAGGAGAGATGCAGCATGTGTGTTGCGTTTGGGGGTAGATGTTGTTTCTTTGTCCTGTGCGCGGCAAGGTTGAGTTCGGTGACGCCGGGTGGGTAGTGCGGGGGGATGATGGGTTCATCTTCTATGGGCTCGAGACGCCTGTCATTGTATATACATATTAGTCTCTTTTATTCCACCATTATCAAATCCAAATTCCCAATACTAAATTTTTTGACTCTTTATGTGATTTGGAAGGAAAATAGAAGAAAAAGGAAGTATGGAGAGTGTAGGGAAAAAGTATGGGGAGGTAGATAACAACGTACCATACACTTGAGATTCCACTCCCCGCAACAGTAATAGCCCGCGCCTCACCTGCCAGAATCCCCGGAATCACATCTGCGAAGATTTCCCGGTTGTGTTCATAACTGACGTCTGTCTCGCCTCTCTTGGCTAGTTCGTCCATGAGCACGTAGCGCTGGAAGGGATCGTCTTTAAACATTTCGCCTATTATATCTACGGCGTGATCGAGTGGTTCTTCGATGAGACCAGCGGGGATGGGGATTTCATTTCCCATCTTTTCTTTTAAATCCGCTTGAATATATCTGTTCTCTTATATGGAGAAAAAAATTGGATGTCTCTTCCCTTCCTTCTTTTCTTACTAAGGAAAGAAAAACGTTCGAGATTGGGGAAATATGCCAAGTAAATGTGTAGAAGTAAAAAATCTGGGCGACTGGGACTATGTTGATGACTGGCCCGAAAGTATATGTAAGAACACGCACGAGTTAGCCATGCCTGAGTTGATCGGGCCGAAAGAAGAGTGTATTTTGTAAGCACCGGCTGGGCATTTTTCCGCTTGTTAACCTAGGGGTGTTACAGCGTTAGCTGCGTGCGTAGTCGTTTCCGCAGTGGACGTCGATCGCTCATTCGGCTGTTAGTGTTTCACGTGGTGAAGTGTCTACCGCAACCGGGGGTAAGCCGGAATCCACAGTGTCTGGGGGTCGAGTTTCGGCATATGTTTCAGGTACTTGTTGCGGCTTTAAACGATGACAGCCGATCAGACACGTAGTTTGCAACATTGAAATATTTTTGCATTACTGGTCACTCATATCGAAGACGATTATTTTTTTTGATCTTGAAATACATGAAGCGATGTCACAGCCTACCTCCCATATAGAGTACTGCCTCTGGAGAAACACCGTACTGTACACATGATATGCAACACCCACATATGTTGACCCCGAACAGACTTGACCGCTTTTTTCAATGCTTAACCTGGGGGGAGCAGGCTGTTGTCGACAACATCTTGTGCCTCCATCTCCTCGACTTCTGCGCTATTGTGGAGAGGAGAGCGGGGTAGAGCCATTAGACCTATTCTAACGTTAGTGTTGATTCTTAGGTAAAGTTTCGAGCTACGTACCAGTTCTCGCCGATTCGAGAATACCAAATGGTGCAATCAGCTTCATGAACGAGTCGATCCTGGTGGGCTTTGCCGAAACCTCTACTATGCAATTGTTGGTGCTAATGTCAAGCACTTTTCCACCAAACTGATGAGTCATGAAGGTGATGGCACGCAGATGTTCGTGCTTGTGTCGAAGCGCCTGGCTGATGGGCAGGTTTGTGGGGTGGTAGTCCTTCCTCAGCGACTCACGAGCAGCATCGTGTGCTGCAGCATTGCGCTCATCCTCTGACATGTTCTCGATTTCGTGACGATCCGTCTCGGGTGGCTGGGCCATTTCGCGGTGGTGTGCAAGAAGCTCCTCAAAGTACTCAGGTCCGAGGATCGAGACCTTTGCGAGAAGCAACTCGCGCTGAACGAGGGGTGACTCGGTGTAGTCGAGCACAGCCCAGACAGGGACTAGGTCCTCCAATTGGCGGCGGGCCTGTTCTATAACCCCATCCTGACCTTGGAGCACAATTGTCATACGCGAGAGATCATCCACCTCGGTGTTGCAGACGACCAGACTGTCAATGTTGAAGCCACGGGCGGCCAGGATACCGGATACACGGGACAGCACACCGGGCTCGTTCTGGACCAAGCAATTGAGGATGTGACTCTTTGGGGGGGCCTGTGACGGAAGTGGTGTCTCGTAGAGAATGTTGCTGACGGCAGCAGGCGCCGACCATGCCGGAGGGCGGTCTTCGGTTGGGAGCGGCGCGATGCGGCGGTGGAGGGCCTTGTAGGCGAGTGCCTGTGTAGATGAGGAGCTGGATGCCCTCTGTTGCAGGCGGAGGGTGCCGGCGCATTGCCTGCTGAGGAGGCTGCGCAGCGGCAGTACTGCGCGCCGGGAGGCCATTGTGGGATGAGTACGTGTGTATACGTAGCAGAGCAGAGTATATAGAAGCGAGGGAGCCGTACAAAGTCAAATACAGCGCCGGTCCTAAGGCGCGGCCGATGGTCGGAGGAGGCGCCAACGGGCAGGTGCAGCCGCGGCACGCTAAGTAAGCGAGCAGCAGCTGTGCCCAGGCGACAAGCGAACAGTGATTGACTGGTGCGTCCATCTTGACCTTTGACTTCGACATCGACCCTCGCCGCACGTCTATCTTGTCTCTAAGCGCCCACCGAACCATGTCTGAAGAACGCCGTCCGCGATCTCGCTTTGATAGCGACGAGCCGGAGCGTCCGGCACGTTCGCGCTTCGACACTGACCGCCGCTCTAGGTCTCCGTCGCGACGAGAGTCCGAGTCGCATCGCGCTCGTAGCCCTATTTCTCGTGAAGGCACAGACAGCCCTGCCTCGGCCAGCTTCAAGAACAAGGCGGCTGCGGCTGCGGCTGCGGCGGCTGCGAGGATCAACGCGCAGATTCAGGCGAAGAAGGGCATCCAGCACGTCGATGTGCCGCCAATTCGCTCTGTATGTCCCTCGCCAAACCTCTTCACCAAAGCCCACTACTGACCGTGCCCAGGCGCCCACTCCTCCAGTCGCCAAGTCGCCCGCATCCAATTCTGCTGCGGCCATCAGCAACGAGACGTACCAGCAGGATGGTGACTACATCAAGGACATTGAAATCAATGATCTCCGTAATCGTTATACACTGACCAAAGGAGCCACACAAAAGAGGGTAAATAACTGTTTTTGCTGTTCACTGATCGATTAGGATCATGTCCTCGCTCTGCCCTGGGAGCCGGACTCTGTTTGCGCATCTCTCTGCATGGAGAGTCAGAGCTTACTTGATCTTCTAGCGCGTTCCAAACCCCGTTTATCAGATGCTAACCTCCATGTGATATATAGATCAAAGACGAGACTGGCGCCGGTACGCATTCCCCGACTATACCTGCTGATGTTTAGAACTCCTGCTTATACATGCAAGATGTCACCACTCGTGGAGAATATTATCCCGACAAGAACATGGCCACTGCTGCTGTAAGTTGATGTTTCTGATTTCAGCATGCAAATGTTAATCAATGTCGCAGAACCCCCCGCTCTATCTCCGCATCACTAGCACTTCCAAGGAGGGCCTCGAAAAGGCTGTAGCAATGATTGAAGAGATGAAGAAGGAAGATCTCCCTAACTTAGTTGACGAACGTCGTTTCCGCCGTCGCGAGCCCGAGAACTTTGAACGTGACGAGTTTGGTCGGGTATGTCTCCCTGTCCACTAGGGTCAATACGTCGCTAACTAGGAACAGCGCAAGTGGCCCGAAGAGAAAATCTCCGTAGGTCTGGAGCCTATTAGTGGCTTTAACTTGCGAGCACAGGTTGTCGGTCGCGGTGGCGACAATGTCAAGTTTATCCAACAGGAGACAGGCTGCAAGGTGCAAATCAAGGGTCGCGGTTCTGGTTTCATGGAGCCCAACTCCGGCCAAGAGAGCGACGAGCCCATGTACCTCCACATTGCGTAGGTGCCTTGTTGCTGTCATGTATATCTGTGCTGACAAGACGTAGCGGACCCCGCCCTGAAGGTGTAGCCCAAGCGAAGCAGCTCTGCGAAGAGCTGCTCGACAAGGTAAAGACAGACTACCATGCTTTCAAGGACCGCCCTGCATCAGCTCGATTTGGTGACCGCGACGGCTACTCCGGTGGCCGACCAGGATACGGCGACCGCGGCGACCGTGGCGACCGTGGCGACCGTGGCAGAAGCGAAAGCTATGGTTACGGAGGCGCTGGTGGCTACGGCGGCTACGGCGGACATGGTGGGCAAGGAGGCCACAACGGCTATGGTGCCCTGGAGAGCCACATGTCACCAGCCGCCGCAACGCCAACTGCCGACGCGAACAACCAGGCCTTTGATGCGAATGCTGCCCAAGCATGGATTGCATACTACCAGCAAAACCCTGACCAAGACCCCTATGCCCAATATGGTGGTTACCAAGCATATCTTACCATGCAGCAGCAGCAGTATGCCGCTTACTATGCTCAGGCCGGTTATGGACAAACTCAGTCGCCTGCTCCAGGGGCCGGTGCCGCTGCACCACCTCCACCACCACCTTCCGAGCCTGCGTCGGCTGGCTATGGTGCTCCCCCGCCACCACCTCCGCCTGCTGCTTCGCCTTCAAACTACGGCGCGGTACGTATACATTATGAGCACAAGATGGTCTCAGCTAATGTGCCATTAGGTCCCTCCACCGCCCGGCTTGTAAGTGTCAAGCAACGACTATGATTGAGCACTTACGACAGCCTCTCATCTTGACTTGATTGATTGAGCACAGTTCAAACAAACTCTCCTGTAATGATTCACAGCATGTCTGGTGGCGTTAGAAATAATACCTGTCGCTTCGGCGAGCTTGCTTGGTTGCTATTGAGCCGCGTCTCTGCTGGCGATCGGGTATAGTATTAGTTTGTCCGAATGGACTTAGTACTCTCATTAGGATACCAATGTTAGTGTTTTCTTAAAAGTGCTTGACATCTTGGTAAATGTGTGAACGCAATTTAGGTGTTAGGATTTATGAAATAGCAATTGATTCTATTTCTCTCTAAACAACATACTCTGAATCTCATAAACACTAGACTCGATTTGACTGCTAATTCGCAGTCATTCAAGTTCACTGCTCTCTGGGCGCATCTTTTTTCTGTGATGACGTCCACATGCTTTGTGATTGGATAGAAGCTGTAGGGGTTCTCCACACGAGAGGCGTTAACGTTCGCGTCCCTGACCCTAACCCCGGTACGTGCAGACTTGCGGAGCGATGTCGCTGGAGATAATTTGTGCAAATGTGCACCTGTCCTTCGCCATTGTGCTGACGCCCACCAGACAAGCCTCAGGATGCGGTCGCAAATCATCTGTGCCGGCCAAGCGGCCAAGTACAGGGTGAGTTAATCATCTCCTAGAGAAAAATATACAGAATGCGGCAAAAGTACAACACTTGAACAGTCATACTTGAGCATCTACAGTGAAATCAGCCAATGTACATGACAGAACACTAACAGCGTCCAAGCCTCACCTGCTCTCCTCGCTCCGGCAATCCGCCCTACAACCTCGAAGGTATCTAGCTACGACTCATGACCTGCCCAAGGCTCGCAATGTCGACATTGCCTCACGCACCCCGCCATATGCCAAACTACTCTCTCGCCTGGAGGAAGTACGGCGCGTGCTTGGCTCCTCACGCCAATTGACCTTGGCTGAAAAGATATTGTATTCGCATCTTGAGAACCCCGAGGAGTCGCTCTTGAGCAACACAAATGGCGGGCGGAATATCAGAGGCCAGGCAAACCTGAAGTTGAAGCCCGACCGTGTGGCGATGCAGGACGCTAGTGCACAGATGGCTCTGCTGCAGTTTATGAGCTGTGGACTTCCGACAACAGCAGTCCCAGCAAGTATACACTGCGACCATCTTATTGTCGTAAGTATTATTTCGTCCTTTTTGCCTCGATCGTAGAGCCTTGATACTGATACATTGCCAATAGGGTGAGAAAGGTGCCGAAGCCGATCTTCCACAGTCTATTGCAGGCAACAGCGAGATTTTCGATTTTTTGGAGTCGGCGGCAAAGAAATATGGAGTCGAGTTTTGGCCGCCGGGTGCGGGTATCATCCATCAAACCGTGTTGGAGAACTACAGCGCACCGGGTGTAATGATTCTGGGAACTGACAGCCACTCACCGAATGCTGGCGGGCTTGGCTCCATTACCATTGGTGTAGGTGGTGCCGACGCAGTAGATGCTCTAGTAGATGCACCATGGGAGCTCAAGGCACCCAAAGTCCTGGGCGTCAAGCTCACTGGAGAGCTCAGTGGATGGGCTTCTCCAAAGGACGTGATTCTTAACTTGGCTGGTCAACTCACAGTCCGGGTATGTGACATCGAGGATTGTGTAGTGATTGATGCTAACAAATGCGCAGGGCGGTACTGGCTACATCATTGAATACTTTGGTCCTGGAGTGCAGTCTTTGAGCTGCACTGGTATGGCGACTATCTGGTGAGAACAAAGTTCCCTGATGTTTCGGGATTATGACTGACAAAAAATAGCAACATGGGTGCTGAAGTCGGCGCAACTACATCGCTCTTCCCCTTCTCTCCAGCACATGTTCCTTACCTGCAGGCCACACATCGTGGATCCATTGCTGAAGCAGCCACCAAGATCGCTCAATCGCCAATGCAACAGAACCTCTTGCGATCCGACCCAGATGCCGTCTATGACAAAGTCATTGAAATTAACCTCTCAGAGCTGGAACCCCATATTAACGGACCCTTCACCCCTGATCTATCAACACCTCTCTCTAAGTTCAAGACAGTAGTTGAAGAAAAGGGATGGCCAAAGACATTTGGTGCAGGTCTCATTGGTAGTTGCACGAACAGTTCTTACCAGGATATGACCCGTTCAGAAGAGATTGTGAAGCAGGCGTCAGCTGCGGGCCTCAAGCCGAAGGCTGACTTCTTCATCACACCAGGCAGTGAACAAATCCGGGCAACATTAGACCGAGACAACACTCTATCTACTTTTACTTCAGCAGGAGGTACTGTTCTGGCGAATGCTTGCGGGTGAGTTCTCTCAACATCTTCTGTCAAAAAATCGCCATACTGACATACTCAATGACCCTGCATTGGCCAGTGGAAGCGCACAGACGAGGTCAAGAAGGGCGAGTCCAACGCCATCTTCACATCTTACAACCGCAACTTTCCCGGTCGTAATGATGGCAACCGTGCGACAATGAACTTCCTCGCATCCCCTGAACTCATCACTGCCATGGCATACTCTGGTTCCACAACCTTCAACCCTATGACTGACAGCATTCCCACGCCGTCTGGTGAGCCTTTCAAGTTTGCGCCACCAAAGGGCTCTGATCTACCTTCGGAGGGATTTGCAGATGGTAACCCAGATTTTATGCCCACGCCAGGTGTACCTGACCCCAATGTCGAGGTCGTTGTGTCGCCTACCTCTAGCCGTCTGGCACTGCTCGACCCCTTCCCAGCATTCCCTGACTCTGAGTTTACAGGGCTTCGCGTCCTCTACAAAGTCAAGGGACAGTGTACAACAGACACCATCTCTGCAGCCGGCCCATGGCTCAAGTACAAGGGCCATCTGCCCAACATTTCTGAGAACACACTGATCGGTGCAGTCAACGCGGAAACAGACGAAGTCAATGTTGCTTATGATGTGGATGGCAAGAAATCTGGTATTCCTGAGTTGGCAAAGAGATGGCGCGACCAAGGTGTTGAATGGCTCGTCGTGGCAGAGCACAACTACGGTGAAGGCTCTGCACGTGAGCACGCCGCTCTGCAGCCGCGTTACCTGGGAGGACGCATCATCCTCGCCAAGTCTTTTGCCCGAATCCACGAGACCAACCTTAAAAAGCAAGGTATCGTACCTCTGACATTCGCAAACGAGGCCGACTACGACGCCTTTGCGGCTTGCGACCAAGTTGCCACAAGGGGATTGTTGGATGTATTGAGGAGCGGTGGCAAGGGAGAGGTTGAGTTGGTTCTCAAGAAGAAAGATGGCAGCGAGAAGGTGGTCAAGACCAAGCACACGCTCTCGCAAGATCAGTGTGGCTTCATCCTTGCTGGCAGCGCGCTCAACCTTTTGGCGAGGAAGGGAAGAGAGATGAAGGAGGAGATTACTAGGAGTGCCGAATTGACTGACTAGAAGTTGGATGACTGGATGGAGACAATGACGACAATTAAAATCTAAAAAGGAAATGGCGCATGGCGCTGGTGGTACATAGTTCTTGGATATTTAAGCAATCAATGGTAATTCAGATGTGTATTGAATAGCCACTTCATGATTTATGGTTTCCACATTACTGTCTTGGATTATTGGGGAGTTTTGCTGTGAAACCTAGGAATTTGAATGATTTCACTGACTTCTCTGAAAAGGCCCACTTGTAATGTCGGGTCACGTGGGGTGTGTATTAGCTTCAGATGTCTCACCTCGTGTTTCCTTCCTAGATCAATCTCTGCACGCCATGAGAGACTTGCTAACCACCACATGAGCCAATTGTGGGGCCACAACCAAAATGCTCTGTAAAATCAATTAGCATTGAATGGCAATGCGCCGCCGGCGAACTCGTTGAGAAGAACTTTTGTCGACAAGCAGAATTATCGTTGAAGATTTTTCTACAATGGCATCGAAACCACGTGCCATAACGGCAAAGGGGCTGCAGTCACTCCTTATACGCATCGGTTCAGCATCATCAGGAACCAAGTCAATTCTCGAGGAACGCTTTCGGCAAAACTTCACCAAATCCCGTCTCTTTGCTCGTCATCCAGAATGGGAGGCTTCGCGGCCCATAGGCCAAAAACTTCGCATCATGAGCATCGACATGGGTATCAAGAATCTGGCTTTCTGCGAGGCCGAAGTCTCATACCCGGTGAAAGACAGTCTGGATGCGAAGATGGATATCTTAAGGTGGGAAAAGGCGGATCTTGCTTCTGTAAGACATCAAGGCGTGACCGAGAGCAGCGAACTAGACACGACCAGACTGAGTGACGCGGAAGCGGACGCAGATGAAGAAGTGGATCCTTATTCCCTGGATACTTTGTCTAAAACTGCGTACAAGCTTATCAAGGAAACGATACTATCTGGATCTCCGGATGTCATCTTGATCGAAAAGCAGAGGTGGCGATCAGGTGGTGGTAGCGCGGTACAGCAGTGGACGCTTCGCGTGAATACACTGGAAGGCATGTTGTGGGCTGTGCTGGAAACGATACAGAACGAGACAGATGTTACCCAGATGAACAAGGAAAAGAAGAAGCTATACGATGTTTTTGCCGTAGATCCAAAGCGCGTAGGACACTACTGGCTCGGACAAAATTCCCAGCGTCTTGCCGCCGACGAAGCTACTTCCTCACCCGCCAAAGACATTCAAAACGAAGCGGAGGGCCAGCCCACAATCAGTCGCTCCAAAGCCGAAAAGAAAGCTAAAATCTCTCTCCTACGCTCCTGGCTCACTGAATCCCCTGCCTCGACCTCATCTACAATCACTAAATCAACGCCCCCAATTTCCTTTGTAATCAGCAATCCCGCACAGCCCACCTACCGCGCTCTGTGCTTCCCCCGTCGCAAGAAGCAGAATAGCGAGTCCAAGGACGCAGAGAGTGTACTCGATGATATCCCCGGATCCGAAATGAAGAAGCTGGACGATGTCACTGATTGCTTTCTCCAGGCCGCGGCATGGGTGAGCTGGGAGTCGAATCGCGTGCAGCTATGCGATATTTGGAGGAGAAACGTGAGACGGAATGGCGGTTGGATGGAGGACAATGAATTGGATTTGAGCGAATTGAATAATGATCGGCTGCTGGAGATGTGGGAGGAGGTTGAAGGGTGATGCGTCATCACTATTTCTTCTTCTTTTGCTGTTTACCCTATTAGTAACAGGGCTGCATAAAGGGAGTTAGCTGCGACTTTTCTTTCTCTTCTTTTGAAGGCGAAAAAGATGATATTAAGTATACAAAACTGTCGTTAAATACCAAGGTTTCCATACTCCATGTCAAGCACTTGTACCACCACAACCCAAGATGACCCCGCTTTCTGTTCCCCCCACAACGATGACGTGTCGAGCCCTTGCACCTAGCCCCGCCCTTCTTCAACCATGGTACCAAGACTTCACATTCAGTTGACATCCCCTTTCGCCCAAAAAAACATTTTTCAGTACATGACATTAGTAATTTTGAAAAAATCCAGATGTTCATAAAACTTGTTCAACAAGTCTCGGTGGCGCAATGGTAGCGCGTTGGACTTCTATCTCTAAGCTATGTAAAAATTTGCTTTATCCGGTTATCCAAAGGCTGCGGGTTCGAGCCCCGCCCGAGATGCTTTTTTTGCTTTTTGCACTGTTCATCTGTATCGTCTTTGCAGAGATAGTATCGTGGTGGTGCTAGTAGCAGGGTGGACAGCAGATTTTTTTTAACGTAGAGATAGAGAGAGGAGACTAGAAAAGGGCGTATAGGACTGAATTGAACAATATTCATTTGCTTGTATTGGATATAAATATGTGCGTGTATATGTATATATGTTTATAATGACTGGGAACCAAAATACTCCAAGTTCCTTGTAGGAATACCAAAAGGCTGTATATACTCATGTACTTTCAAACTCCAAACACACCCCCACCCACCCCTTCTCAGATCTCTCTCTTTCTTGGTTTCTTCCCCTGTTCAACCCTCACAAATCAGATCAAACTCCGGGAAATCGGGATCAGGCCCAATATTCGTACTTGCAACCGCAGATTTGAAATCCTTGACTTTGGCACTCTTTTGCGCATCGAGGCATTTATCTTTGTATCCATTGTATTAGTAAAAAAGAATCATTTTCTGAGAAGAAAAAAAAAAGACAGACAAATGGGGGAGGAGGAAGGGAAATAGAGGAAAGTAGAAAGAAAGAAAGGAAGGGGAAAAAAAAACTAACTCTTCTGCTCATCACAATCATTAACCTTCAACCCGCCCTCTTTCCCTCCTCCACCTCCATTCCGATTCGCCTCACGACTACACCCCTGAGCCTGCTCATCGCAACTTCTCTGCGCTGCAGTTTCGAAATCCGGGAAAGTGTTTCCCTCGACTTCAAAGGGGCGGTCGTCTTTACCGGAATTCGTAATCGGGGGTGCGGGCGTGTTGCCGAGTTTGCCGTCGAAAGTTTGGAGATTGGAGAGTTGGCGCAGGAAGAGGGTGTGGCGGGGTAGGAGGGATATGTCGGCTGTGGAGTTGAGGAGGGGGGGTTGGGGCGAGGCGTGGGAGAGGGCGGGGAGGGCGAGGTGGAGGAGGGTTAGGAGGGTTGAGGGGAGGAGGAGCATGGTTGTTGTTGTTGTTGTTGTTGTTGTTGTTGTTGTTGTTGTTGTTGTTGTTGTTGTCGTTGTCGTTGTCGTAGTCGGGTGAATTGTATTAAAATCGCGAAGAGTGTTTCGGTTTTTGATCGTGGTGTTCGGTTTGGGAATATACAGATATCGATAATCGAGATTCGGGTCCAGACAAAAAGTATTATGATTTATCGACCGTGTAGTGACGTCCCCTCTCTCTCTCTCTCTCTCTCTCTCTCTCTCCGGTATAATATTTCCAGCCTGTTATGGGTATCGTGAAGTTCTTTCAAAGGATCGTTCCCGGTATAGTATCCAGCCCGAGTTCGAGTTCAAACTGCCCAGCAGTTCTCTTTTCAGTCGCACGCAAAGGGGAAAAAACCGGACAGGTCAAACGAAGGCAAGAAAGGAAAACAACGAAACAGAAAAAACCTGAAAAATGGGCAACAAGACTCAGTCTGTATTTCCAAAACAGGTTCGAATCCACCTCTTTCTCATCCACAAAAAAAAAGTGATACCTACGACGTAGCGCCGACTAAGCGCGGTGCGCGTGGGGCGGGATACTCATACTTATTTACTAGCTGTTTGCTAGGTTGTTGCAAAAAGGGCGAGGAGGGGAAAGTGGCTGCGCGATGACAGCCATGTTCCGTGTCGTTGCAATGCGAGCAGGGGAAACGGCGTGTCGCCGATGCACGCTGCGACGGTGCTGAAACGCCATCACACGACCATTTGGTGTGACACGACCAGGAACACGCAGAGGATTTTATGTGGAGATTAGGCTATAGGGGGGAAAGGGAAAACAAAAAAAAAACACGCATTAACATGTCGACGTAATCCAGCACGGGACAGGGAAGCCATGGTCAAGGTATATGTAATTACATTCGCTATTGTGGGGGTATGATGATAATGAATAGTCGCATAGAACTCGCACGCTCCATTACAAACTTTTCTCGAAACAAGCATAGAATGCAACTGCAGACAATGCAAACAGAAGGAATTGAGTAGACAAAAGAGTTTTGCAACGTCTTTTGGTGTGATGTTTGTTTGTTAGTATATACTACCCATTGGTGATGACTGCACACTAAGCTCGAGTAGCCCGTCCGTCTTCTTAATGACATTCTACACTATCAACTCCAAGGCGGTGGTAACCCTGTCCGAAAAAATGAAAAAAATAAGGAAAAAGGAAAAAGGCTGCGTAGTCAGGGATGATCGTGGCTGGCTGCATAACATCGAAGGAATAAAAGTTATTAAAACCGCCATGGTATTGTATGTACAAGCCAGTATTGGCTCAGCACTCGAGATGGCATCCGGTTCAGATAAACCCCGCAAATAGTCGTTGGTATCGTGATGGGCTGTGGTGGTAGGTCCATGTGTTGTTTGTCTAGACTGCACTTGGCTTAGAAGTTGGCCGCTGCGTTGGGCCGTCCTCCGGGGCTAGAGTACTGGTCCATGTTGGATCCGTAGGGAGTGGACCCTGGGCTGTTCTGCGGCTTGTCACCAAGAGCTGCGCCCGTACCGGCCATGAGGTCATCGTCGTCTGCCTGGACACGTGCTTGGCGCTTCTTCATGCGCCAGAAAACAAGAGCAATGCCACCGAGGAGCAGAGCACCTCCGACACCTCCAACGACGCCACCAATGATCTTCTTGTCAGAGTCGCTAATGCCTCCGTCACTGCTTTGGTTGTTGCCCTGCTGTTCTGTGGGTGCTTCGGTAAAGGTGACTTGTCCGGTGGTGGCGACGGAGGTGCTGGTACCAGTCGAGGTCTGCGTGATTTGCTGGTCGCCGCTCATTGTGACAATAGTGGTGGTGAACTCGCGCAGGGTGGTAGAGAGGAGATCCGAGGTCCTGGTGATGGGTGCGGTCCTGATGGTGGATGGCGGGGAAGTGACGGCCGGTCCGTTTGCAGTTGTGCGTCCTGTCGACGTAGGGCCATTGTTATTGTTGTTGCCGCCATTGCCCCTGGTGGTAGTTGGTGTGGGTGTGTTTGCGGGGACGTCGTTTGAGGGTTGTTGCGATGGAGGCGGGTTGTTGTTGTTATTGTTGTCGTCGCTGGATGGCGGTGGCTGTGGTGATGGGGATGGGGATGCGACTGGCGGCGGTGTTGAGACTGGCGGCTGCGAAGGCTGTGATGCTGGAGGAGGTGACGAGACAGGGGGAGCTGGCGACGAGGCAGCGCCGGTGCCCTCAGCTTCTTGTCGCTTGCCGTGGCGCAGGTAGTGGTTGACGCCGTCAATGTGCAGGTCCTCGAGGGTAAAAGCCGAGGAAACAGTGGCGAGAGCGAGAACCGCGCCTGAAAACCACGTCTTTGGTAGCATGTTTGGCGGTTTCGCAGATCAGGGTAACGGGAGCGAGCGGATGGGGTGTCGAGACGGCGTGCTTTAATGGGCGAGGGTGACGCGTCTAACAGAGGGCGTTTGAGATTTGTAAGTATTAAAAAAAGGGAGCCACGGACGGATCAAGGACGACTATGTACGCGAGTAGAGTGAGCTTGGAGGGCGGTGTAAGTGGATACGGGCCAGGGCTGAGCGAGCGAGGGCCGGGAGGGCAATAAGGAGATGAACGAGCGTGTGGAGGGGATGACGGGTAACGGATAGGCGTTGGGGTGGTTGTAGTGCAGCAGGTGCAGCAGGTGAGTGGTGGGAGGGTGGGTGATTAAGCACTACTGGGTGCCGGGGTTGGGGGGTCGGGGCAAGTCCAAGTCCAAGGCAAGTGGGCAGCAAAGTGGAGAGAGGGTGGGCAGCCAATTTTAGCTTCAGCCGCGCCAGACCCTGCCTTGGCCTGCCTTGGCCTGCCTCTGCCGCAACCACAGCGCCTCACTATGAAAATTTGCTGGGGACCCAGCCCAGCCTGCATCTCGTACCTGTGAGACGCAGGAGATAAGCAGAAAAAAAATTCGTGCCAAAAAAGACGTGTAACGTGTAGTGCTGCTCTGCTACTACTATAAAGACAAAAAGACAGCCTGCTACTGGACCGCAACACTCTGACTGCACCGTCCCCATCCCCCCCCAGCCTCTGTTACTCACCCAGTCACCGGTTCCGCATTTGCCCATTGGCCCGCCGGCGGAACCCGCCCTTGTATGTACAAGTGTGTCCGTCTGGTCGTGCGTCATCCTGCCTGGCTAGCATTCTGCACTCAAGCAAGCCCCCGGTCTGCCGTCGCGAAGATCCTTTACAGAGTAGTAGCAAAAAGTCGCGGCCGCCAATAACTCCAACCTCGTCCGTTGTTTCCGCTTTGTTCGTTTGTCGCTGCCCGCCCCGTAACAGAGTCTCCGCCGCCCACCCGACGACGATGCTCGCCGCCGCCATGTCACACAGCCTGTCGCTGACGCCTCACGAGGCCCTCTCGGGTGTCTTCGGCTCAATCTCGCTGGCCTCGTGGATCTTTCTCCTGGTACGTAACATGTTCTTCGCGGCGGTCGAGACCCTCCCTCACCCCCCCTCCCCTTTCACCAATGGTGACTTGGACGTTGTGTGATTGTTGCACGTCGCGTGGCCATGCTGCAGCTTGCCATGTGACTGCCGCAACTGCCTGCGTGCATATATCCACTGTGCTACTATGAATAGAAAAGCCGCCCACGCGACCCAATCCATGCATCCATGTATACTAACATGCTCGCCCACTAGGTCCCCCAGCTGCTCGAAAACTACAAGTCGGGCTCTGCAGATGGCATCTCGCTCGCCTTCCTCATCGTCTGGTTCATTGGCGATGTCACCAACCTCGCCGGTGCCCTCTGGGCCGGCCTCGTCCCCACCGTCATCGCCCTTGCCGTATACTTTTGCTTCGCCGACCTGGTCCTCATCAGCCAATGCCTCTACTACAACATGAAGAACTCGCGTCGCGAGCGCAAGTCGTCGACCCGCTCTACCGACAGCGTCCAGGCGCCTCTGCTCGGCCGCCGCGACAGCAGCAACATTGGCCTCCCAGGTAGTCACAGGCGCGACTCGGCCGCCAGTCGCAGACGCCGCGCCAGCTCCCTGCCCACCATCCCCGACGTCACGACCGCCTCGTCGAGCGAATGGCTCAAGAACGCCTTGAGCATCTTTGGGGTCTGTGCCGTTGGTGCTGCCGGCTGGGCAATTGCCTGGCAGATTGGCGTCTGGGTGCCCCAGCCCACACATGACGACGCAGGCAATGCCTCTGACAGTCCTCTCGGTGCCCAAATCCTCGGCTACGCCAGCGCAATCTGCTACCTTGGTGCCCGTATCCCCCAGATCATCAAGAACCAGCGTGAAAAGTCGTGCGAGGGTCTGTCGCTGCTCTTCTTCATGTTGAGCTTGCTAGGCAATGCTACCTATGGTGCAGGAGTACGTTCCCCACCCCCCTTGACTCACCTCTCTACACACATTTGTAACTAACCAACTTCTTCAAACAGATCATCTTCCACTCGCAGGAAAAACAATACATCCTCACCAACCTCCCCTGGCTCATCGGCTCCCTCGGCACAATGGTCGAAGACGTAACCATCTTCATCCAATTCCGCGTCTTTGGAACCGGCGAATCCACCTCTGTCCTCGACGCCTAGACCACCTCTCCAGATTTACCACCAGTCATCTCTCTCTCTCTCTCTCGTTTCCATTTTCCATCATTTGCTCCCTTGCATTTTAAACGAAAAAGTTGCTCATACATTTCCCATGCTTTCAGTAGCAAACAATGGTTGTTTTGTGTCTGTTGCAAGATACCCGATTGAGAATGAACACTGCAAAAGAAATCTTTGAAGAAAAAAGAAGCCATCTAGGGCGCTTGGGTGTTTTTGCGGATCTAAAAGAGAAGAGGGAAACAAAAGTTTTTTTTGTTATTGTTGTATAATAGTGTAGTAGAGGAGAAAAAGGAGTTTGGATAGAGACTTCACCTTTCATGGTCAAAAAAAATATTCGAAATCATTCTTTTTCACAAGCATCATCGTCATCAGATTCAAAAGAGCCATTGCGTACCCTCACTCAATCGTTGTATATTGGTATATATTTCGCCCTCAGTCCAAACAGTCCATCAGTCCCCCTTAACCCAAGAAAGAAAGAAAGAACAAGAAGACTGAAACCCCCCGATACCAAACCTACCCTTCTATGACGTACACACCTTATCTTAACTTTTCTACTGCGCATTGTCATACTTTTGCTCATGCACGCCAATGGCACTACACAACGTTAGTTAAACTTTCCAAACACAGACAAAAGGCACACTATCTTACCGTCCAGAAGGATCCGTCTGGTTACTCCACGTAGGCGTCCAGCGCATCACCGTATCAGCACAGTAGCTGGGGAAGTGCTCGTCAAACATGCAGCGGTACCAGTACGCCTCCTTGCTATCCGGGATATCGCTACCCCACTCGGGCTTGGGGTTCTTCATCATCTCATCGGTAACGTGGAGCTCGGCGTTATCCTTGAGCGCGTCGATCCAGCCATAGCCGACACCGTCGGAAAACTGCTCTTTTTGACGCCACAGAATCTTATCGGGAAGGTATGGCGCCGTGTCCGGCTCGTCGGTTGTGTCGAAAGCTTTGCGAAGAATGTACTTTTCGATTCGGCCCGCTTTGCGGTCAATCATCTTGTCTGCGGGGTCAATGTTCATGGCTGTGTTGAGGAAGTCCTTGTCCAGGAAGGGCACGCGGGCTTCGACGCCCCAAGCAGATGTCGACTTGTTGGCGCGCAGGCAGTCGGCCAGATGGAGGTTCTTGACTCGGCGGACGCATTCCTGGTGGAACGCCGCCTTGTCGGGTGCGTTGTGGAAGTATAGGTAGCCGCCAAAGATCTCGTCACTGCCTTCTCCTGAAAGCACCATCTTGACGCCCATGGCCTTGATCTTTCGGCTCAGCAGGAACATAGGGGTTGAGGCTCGGATCGTCGTCACGTCAAATGTCTCCAGGTGGTAGATGACATCGGTAAGCGCGTTGAGACCATCCTCAATGGTAAAAGTAAAGGTGTGGTGTTTTGTTCCCAGGAAGTTGGCCACCTCTTGTGCTGCAATGGCATCGGGAGCGTTGGGCAGACCAATCGAAAACGAGTTGAGTTGTCCCAGGAGGAGATCTGTCTGAAGCTCGTTGGAGTCATCGATTCCCACAAGCTGACTCTGCTCATCGCTCGCCTTTGCACCAGACGTCACTGCCTTCTGCCTTATCGCCTCATTCAACCGCAGAGTCTCGCGCTGTGCTATCGATGCCACAAGACTCGAGTCAAGACCACCAGACAGGAGCACACCGAATGGCACCTCTGCCATCATGCGTTTCCGCACTGCTCGCTCAAACGATTGTCTCAGCTCCTTGTAGTCTACTGGTGTGGTAGGAATGTTCTCAGGCTCAACAAGCCACTTGGGATCATGGTAGCGCGTGAGCGAGTCCGTCTTAGAGTCGTAGACGTGACCAGGAGGGAAGGAGATGATGTTGTCGCATACGGGGTGGAGGCACTTGAGCTCAGAAGCGAAGTATACCGCGCCCGGTGTTGTGCTCGACCTGCCCATGTAAAAGGTAGTGACACCAATGGGGTCGCGTGCTGCAATTACACGGTCTTGAGTCTTGTCGTGAAGCACCCAGGAGAACATGCCGTCCAGCTTTCGAGGCGCATCGATGTCATGCTCGAGGTACTGGCATATATATCAGTGTTGCTGCCCTTATTCGTGGTGTCTCCAACCCTACCAGCGGAATGATGACCTCGCAATCCGAGTGTGTCTTGAAGTTGTACGGCTTCTTGAGGGACTTGCGGAGGATGCGGTGGTTGTAAATCTCGCCATTGACGGCTAGGGAGACGGTTTCATCATCGTTGACGAGTGGTTGGGCGCCAGTGTCTACTCGTGTAAGCCTCGACTACAATTGTTTCTTTGACCGTGTGATTGCGTACCAACACCGACAATACTCAAACGCTCGTGTACCAAGACTGCCAGCTGTCAGAATTGCCCAATTACCAAATCATTCCGTAATTCTTACTAGTGTCGTTCGCTACCCAGTTGCCACCTGCAAAATTTCAGTTATTGTGTTCTTCGGCGCATACAGAAGACGTGGTCACTGACTCCAATCGGGTCCCCGATGTCGGACACTGCGCGCAACCAGTCAATTCAACACTCTCAATTCCAATCAGATGCAAACTTACGCCTTGCCCATTTTCAGGGCCGTCGGCTTGAACTTTTGGACATCTGGGTGTCTTTGTAGAAAAAGTTAGTAACGTCTCCATAGCACAAGTGAAGTAGAGGGTGGGTGCAGAGCGGATCTGGCATACCTATAGCAGGCGAAAATACCACACATGGTTGCAAATATGAGGAAGGAAAGAGAATGTGGGAGTCAGAAGGAAGAAAAGGACGGCTTTATCGCAGTCGAAAAGCTATTGTCAAACCACTGGAGTCATATTAGCCCTCCGGCGGACGGAGCCCCACCATGGCCGCCGCCAACCCGCGCTCACTACACGTCTGCTCGCAGCATGGCGGTGTCCACTATCTATCACAGGCATGCAAGGATACAGCCGTCTGGCGATACCGCGGCAAACCGGTGGAGTGTGATATTGCTCGGTCTAGGATGGGCCTTGCATGACGTTCCTACGCCACCCCACACTGGAGAATCGTCCCTCGTCTATTGGCTCGTGCCCCCATGAGTCGAACAATTGTCCAGAAAAAGTACTACTGCTACGTATGAGATGACCACATGTATCTTCTTCATTCGCCTGTCTTCCCACCATCTCGTATGAAAACTGGCTTCACAACATGCAAGTGCCAAAAGTGTGTATAAACATTAAGGTGTCAAACAATTTTGGCGCGCTACAACTCCAGATAGTCTACTTGTTGATACACGAATGCCTTCCGCGCAGATATGCTCATGAGCCCCTAGCAGATGCCACTCTGTATGCGTAGCCAACAAGAAGCCTAGGTCCAAGCAAAAATAGCCCCCGAGAACACAAAGCAATGAACTGTCCTCTCATCCAGCGCCATCCAATACCACCGCTGCCCTACTGCTTCTTGCCTCCTGTAGAAAGTTAACGCGCAATCCCACGCCTTGCCCACCAAACACAAAATCCCTTGCCGACTGCTCTATTGCTGCCCGAAAGGTGTTTAGAAAAGGAAATAAGCCAAGAGGAAGCTGATAAGACAAAGAAGCGCGGTAATCTGAACGGGGACACCTCCAGCGGGGGCCTGTCGTACTTCGGTAGCAGTTGAGACTTGTGACTTCGAGTCTTGTGCGGAACCTGTCTTGCGCTGGCGGAGACCGGTCGCTTCGCTAACCTGCTGTGTCAATCGTGCAATCTGCGCCTTGGCCTCGGCAAGTTGTGCCTCTAGGTCACCGGAAGAAGGAATAGCGTTCGAGACACTCGCAGCAGCCGAGTTGAGGGCACCCTGAGCACTACCACCCGTCGCAGGGTTATATGTCTCGTTCCTGATCTCTCCCAAGTTCTTGCTGCCAGCCGGGCGATCTTGTGGGACGGAAACCGGTCCAGATGCGTCAGATACACCACCACGCTGAGGGGTGAAGGCTTCCTGAGACGGCGATGGGGATGGAACCAAAGAGTCGCGGCTAGCAGAGTTGTTGGTCTTTGCGGGTGTTACACTCAGGCCACCTTCGTCAGGGGCGAGGAACAGGACCCTGATCTTCTTCTCCTGGATGGAAGACTTGGATGTCTGTTCAATGTGTGACCACTATAGCAAGCAATTAGCCCTGCTCTGCCCTTTTACCCAAAAATAAATATGCGTACCAAAGATCCAACGTTGGCAAACTCTTTATCGGCGGTGATGAGGACCGACTGTACGAGGAACTTGTCGCGGCACTTCGCATCTGGCGGTGGGTCTTCCTTCATAGCCTGGAGGAGAACTAAGCGCATTTGTTAGCTGCTGCAAGGTGTCCGCAAGGTGCGCGCGCTTGAGATATGCATACTCTGAACTTCAACCTCCTTTCCAGGCTCAATACGTCCGCTGTTTGGCCTGACGCAATATCTGTAGTTCCCTCGTCAGTTGTTGTGGGGCAAAGAAGGGGTCGCAGGCGCCGTACTGCTTGGGAGCCGTGGTTTTGACCTTGCACGTGTTAGCTGCGCGTTCGGTATGAAGCTACAAAATAGCAGGAGACAAGCAAAGCGGCTCACCTTGAAGGCAACAGGGTCAGAATGCGGGTTCTTCAAGCGGAGAGTCTGCGACACTTCATGCTGAAAGGGTCCTGGTGGGCTTAGTATTGCTGCATGCGTTCAATGCCACTGATAGAGCTTACGCTTGAAACCAAGCTCTACGGGATCGAGCTCGACAGACATGGCGGTGCGTATGCGAGTGGTGAGAGTGCGGTGGGTGGTTGCGTGGTGTTGGTAATCAGGCACGGGTGCTCAGTTACAGCGTCCGTTCGCGGTCAACCTCGGGAATGATAGGCGGGTCGTGTGCTCGTGTAATTGTGGGTTTAATTAATCAACAGACAAACGCGCTGGCACTGAATGTCTGTATCAGGTGTCGTTGGTGGTTGCGGGTGGCAGAGTGAGGTCAGGAAGAAGGAGACGATGACGTTGCTTCAGGGCTGCCGTGGAGGCAGTCGCGCCAGTGACGCTTTTGGCTCAGGAAGCGCTTTAGTGGCCTCGACAGCTAACTGTCCAACTACCGGTATTCATACAGTCTAGGCTGCGGCGGGGAGTACATACGCTTTTGAAGTGAAAGTGAAGATAGTCGGTATTGCTTATTCCAGGCATTTGTCCAGCAGATCAACGGTCCACCTTCTCCAAGGTTCCGTTCCATTCCCCGCTACTGCCTGCACCATGTACGTTATATAACACCGCCCTAGTGGAACCCTCTATTACCAATACAACAACAAGTTCAACCCGCCCTACTCATCGACTGACAAGCCTAGCTTTACAATAGACATACGTGTACCTTCCTGAACAGATAATTGTCCAGAGCGTTTCACTCACTTGGTTCGGACTACAACGCCACAACCATCATGGCCTCATCCGATCTAGATACTCTCGTCGATATGGGCTTTGATCGCGAGCGTGCCGAGCTCGCCGTCAAAGTCTCTGGAGGCCTTCAGTCCGCCATCGACTGGCTCGAGACCAACCAGGACAAGTCCATTGACGAGATCAAGCAAGCGCAAGCCAGCTCTGCTGCCGGAGCTTCAGACGAACCCCCAGCCCTCCAGCCCGGAGAAGAAGCAAAATCACTCGTGTGCGATGAGTGCGGCAAAAAGTTCCGATCAGTCAACCAAGCTCAATTCCACGGCGAAAAGACAGGCCACGAGCAGTTCAGCGAGTCGACCGAAGAAATCGCACCCCTCACAGAAGAAGAAAAGAAGCAGCGGCTACAGGAGCTACGGGAGAAGTTGGCGGCGAAGCGCGCAAAGATGTCAGAGCAGGACAAGGAGGACCAGAAGAGAAACGAGCAGATTCGCATGAAGGCCACAAAGGAGTCGCAGGATATCAGGGAGGAGTTACAAAAGAAGGAGCGTCTGAAGGAGGCTGCTGCTAAGCGTGCAGAGAAGAAGGCAGACGAGGAGGCAAGGAAGCGCGTGCTGGCAAAACTCGAGGCAGACAAACAGGAACGTAAGCGCAAGGCCGAGGAGGAAAAGGCAAAGCGTGCCGGTCAGGCTCCCCCTGCTCCAGCCGCACAAGCTCCTCTCGCGACATCTTCTGGTCCTTCGACAAGCAAGCCTGCAAGCGCATACACTGAGGCTCGGTTGGCGCTCCAGACACCCAGCGGAAGGGTCATGAAGACGTTCCCGGTAGAGACGACGCTCTTCGAGGTAGCACACGCGCTGGAACAGGATGGCCTGAGTGTCAATACGTTTACCACCAACTTCCCCAAGAAGACGTATGACAAGACTGACTTTGGCATGACGCTCAAGGAGGCTGGCATGGTACCGAGCGCGGCCTTGATTGTCGGATAAGTTTCAGCAACGGTCGAGAGGGACACTGCGATTCTCTGGGACTGATGTAGCGATGATTATGTACAAGAAGGTATGGGAAGATGGCGTTGGTGATGCGAGATTCACGGTAGATACCCTTGGAGAATGAGGTATCGAGTAGGTTTGATCAGATAGTCTGTAGCGGAACGGCCAGCAAAAAAAACACACTGATGAGTTATGAATGACGAGAACGTGCTCAACATTTACCAATCTCTGTTCAATCGCGTGGAAAAACTAGCCGTGTGTGTATATGACATGCGTTCGTACATTGGTATATCTGAGTTCCGAAAGCACACCGTGGACCCATTACTCATACTCATCGACATCATACCTCCCCTCAGCCCTCTGCGTACTACACCACTCCTCACTCGCCAGCCCCCTCTCCTTCCTTCTAACTAGCGCCTCAGCATCCTTGCACCAGTCGCACGCAAAATCACACGGCGCAGGCGCCTCGTCGGCAAAATACTTTGCAATAATCTTATGGCGACATTTATCTGTAGCCTCGCAGTACCCCACGAGCGCTTGCAAGCTCCTTGCACGATTCATAAGTTGTTGCTGCTGGGAATCTGGCCCGCCGCTTTTTGAGGGTTGGCGTGCCATATCTCGCGCCATCATGTTGGCAGCGCGATCGCGGTCTTCGCGGCCGTAGTACAAGATACAAAGCGAGGCCTTACCGTCGCGACCTGCTCGGCCAGCTTCTTGGTAAAAGCCTTCAAACGACTTTGGGATCTGCCAGTGGACTACGAAGCGGACATTTTCCTTGTCGATTCCCATGCCGAATGCGGTGGTAGCGACAATGATGTCGTAGCCGAGCTTGTTAGCGATCCAGCCTGATAGGGCGTCTGCGCGTTCAGAGACGGAGAGACCAGCGTGGTACGGTTTCGCACCGATGCCGTCAGAACGGAGGCGTTCGGCGAGGGACTCGCAATCTTTGCGGAATAGTGTGTAGATGATGCCTGGGACGTTGTCTGTGCGCTGGTTTTGTGAGGCAAGTTGAGTAACGCGCTCGGGTCTCTCAGCACGTCGAGCGTATATCCCTTTGAGCATGGAAAGAAAGTCGTCATAATGGTCTTCTTCGTCGGATTTGAAGCGTACTTCGTAGTGCAGGTTTGGCCGGCTGCTGCTCATGCGGAACATGGCTAGTTTCTTTGGGTCCAGTGCTAACGTATTGATGATGTCGTCTCTTACACGTGCTGTGGCTGTGGCAGTCAAACAAATCACTGGAACATCAGGAAATTCTGTCTTGAAGAAAGAAAGTTGCTGGAAAGATGGACGAAAGTCGTGACCCCATTCGCTGACACAGTGGGCTTCATCGACGGCGATGCGGGCCAGTTCGCGCTGGGAATGGATGACTCGCAGAATTTTACGGAAGTGATCACCTTGACAGAATTCCGGAGTGACATAGAGTAGCCGAGTGAGTGGGTGGCCGCATTGGAGGTCTGTCAGGATTCTTTTTCTGTCCTCAGGGGGTGTCGTGCTGTTGATTGTTTCGACGCGGATATTGGCGTTGCGCAAAGAAGCGACTTGGTTGTTCTATTTCCCAGTGAGATGGCTCCATGCAAGTGAACATTAGGTAACGTACCATGAGTGCTAGAAGTGGAGATATGACAATGGTAACTTGGTTCATCAGTGCAGGCACTCTTTCACATCAGGCTGCTCACATACTGCCAAAGTCCACAACTGCTGGAAGTTGGTAGCACAGGCTCTTTCCGAATGAAGTCGCTGCCTGGACGAAGACATCTTGACCTTCTAATGTGGCCAGAACGACTTCACGCTGTGGTGGTCTAAGCCAATAATTAGCGTGATAATCTTAGCAATGAATCATGCCACTTACCTGAATGCAGCTTTCTTGAAGACCTTTCTCAACGTAAAGTCTATGTTTGAGTACGGCCGCTTCCTTGGACCAGTCATGATCCCGGCACTATACCTAGTATTATGTCAAGATTTTGGTGAGAAAACTCTGCACGATGAATATGCCGAATCACCGCAGTATTGTGGGGTATAACGGCGGCTTCAGCAACAGACAAAGTTGCATGTTGAGCTACACGGATCAAGTTGGGGAAAGTGTTATGGAGTGTTAATCGATAGGACGCGTCCGCCTCAAAAGTGTGACGCGCTAGCACGTGCGTCCCACTTTGACTATAACTCGTAGCATTTGTAGTCAGTCACCACCATACTTCACTTTCATAGAACAAAATTACGGTATTTGACAGCAAGGCATTAAATCAAAAATGGATATATGAAAGAGTACGCGGAAAACCTGAAGGCCCAGCTCACCGCACCAATATTCGAATTTTAAGTCTGCAAGATCAGCATTGCTTAACCCGAGCATTCACCACACATGATGCTCGCAACAAATACAGGACCAGAAGTCCCACCCGGCTTCACAATAAAAGAATTTTCTTCCTTCCTGCCAAAACTCCGCCCAGCCATCGCCGACAAGGTAGCCAAACTCGAAAAGAAAATCTTCCCCGCAATAGAGCATTTCAACTACGACGTTGAGCTGAAGAAAAAGAACACGGGCTTGCTACTGGTATTCAAGGAAGACGATGACGAAAGATTGATCGCTTATCTCGTGTATCAGCGGATGAAGAGGCTGGCGTGGCTACACAAACTTTGTGTTGTTGAGCAAGAGAGGCAGAAGGGCGTAGGCAAGGCGCTGATTCGCATGTTTCACTATCAGATGGAAAGAGGAGGGTGTCAGACGGTGTTTTTGTGGGTCGATGAGAGTAGACAGTCTGCAAGAGCATTGTATGCGTCATGTGGCTTTGAGCAGTCTGAGCGCCGACCTGATTATTACGGTCCTGGGCGTACGGCTTTGAAGTTGGAGTTGACAATTGGGGAATGAGGGCGCTGTCTAGGGTCTTGATACAGCCCCTGGATGACGGTAGTTGTTCCAGCTCACACCCATTGTGGCTTGGCGGGAATACAAAGAGCCATACCATGGAATTCATGAGTGGACTTCTACGGGATAGTCATGCTTCCTTGATCGCCTCGTCAATCTGAGCAAAGTTCAGACCTAGTACGCCAATTACCAAGTGGCCCCATATCTATGTCACCCTATTTGCAACCAATACGCCATACACAATGCAACTCCGCCCAAACAGACACCTACAACTGAATATCATTGTTCAACAACCGCACCTCCTCACCAGGCTTGAATGCCGGTAGTCCGATGTACGGACATCCATCACACCTAAAGGCGTCTCCCAGCGCGCAGTTCCCGCAGCTGCCCACCTTTCCCTGTACTGTAAAGTCCACCTCAGCGAGATCATCGGCATCCAGTTTGAGTGCGTTCAAAGCCTTGTCAGCGGAGGCGCGTCTGGCAGCGTCTTCAGCTTCGAGTTTTTCCTTCATACCGCAAGTGCAATCTTTGCAAGCGCGTCGTTTCTTTCCTGGCTTGGGCTGGCATTCAGGTGCTGTAATTTGTTAGTCTGAAGAAACCGAATTGAGAGGATTGGGGACATACGTTGAATGACAGGCCGGGCCATGTCTGCTTCAGTGATGAATTCGTCTTCGTCGATCAAATCGTCGTCTTCTCCAGTAATGATTGGGTCGTCAAGATCATCGCTAAAGTCCACGAAACCTACGCCGTTTGGCTTGGCTGGTTCGGTTTGGTTGCGCTTGCCATTGAGGTTGAGCGGGACAGAACCGTCTGGATTGACCGTGCCATTTGTACCATTTGTACCATTTGTTCCATTGACGGCGCCTGTCCTCTTCTTGCCAAACTTGAGCGGTATCGACACAGCCTCTTCTTGCTCTGGCTTTGTCATGCCATCTGCCGTTTCCGTGAGTCCAGCAAGAATAGCCTCTGTTTTCTCAGAGCCTTGGAGAGGACCAGCCTGGCTCTTGAGCACTCCTCCAACCTTCAATGCACCCACCACTTTGTTCATGACATCGCGTGCTAGCAGTTTGTGACTCTCGCGAGTTGTACCGTCGGCGTCGGCAAGGAGAAGGACAACATCGTACGTAGAGGCGGGCAGATTGACGAGACCGGCCGCTATGCGGTCCAGCATCTGCAAGTCTGTTGATTTGCGGTCATGGATTTCGTAGACCTTATCAAGTTGCTCAGGATGCGCTGCGATGGACGGCGTACCGATAAGTAAGCATCGCGGGGCCATGGCGGGGCACAGTGGCGTCGTGTGTGTGCGGATGGAGGGGCAGATTTGTGTCGCAAAATGCAATGTAAAAGCAAGAGGTCTTGCGAAAGAGAAGCAGAAATTTGAGGAAAAAAACAGTGGTGGATGTCCCAAGGCGTGGCCGGGAAACTTTTGTCAAGATAGTCTGCGGCCTCGGAGGCGTGCTGATGCAAGCAACAAATCCGCGGCGATTGGTCATACGATCCAGGGCCGATGGCGAGGGCAGAAACGAGCTGACCCTCACGTGATGCCGGGGCCACTGAGGCACGGCGCATGACTTTGGCCGGCCTATGTGGGGCTGGTGCATTAGCGCTCATGAGGTACTTGTGGAATCCGGGGTAGAGAACGCTGCGCGCTCGAGGTTGTGAGCCAAGTAACTTTGGATACTGCGCAATCCGAGGGCTTTGTATGCACACTGGATATATACAAGTACCCAGGTATGGCTGGGCTGATGAATTGAACCAGCCTGGGCCGGTGTTGTCAGCATTTCGTCTCGGATCTCTTGCTCTAAGCACGCGACCAGCATGCGCCAGGTACCAAGTGACGTACCCAGCTCCCCTCCTCCCCCAGTTGCTTTCCTCACAGAGCTCAGGGACCGAAGATCCGATTGATAAAACCACGCTGGCCTCAACTTTACCTTCTACAGCGCTACATATTGCAATGGCCAGCATCGGGTCCTTGCAAGCGAACCTTCTAGATAATGGCACCAACAAGGCCCCGTGATGGTGTAGGTGCCTTCCCATATAAAGGGAGCACCGGGTGCTGTTGCCAGCTTCCCCGCTCTGAGAACTATACGCGTGAGGTACACTACGCCTGCCCTAAGTCTTGACCGGATCAACGCTCTTCTTCCCCTCCTCAACTCGCGCCATTGCTCTTGTGCTCATCTCTGCTGTGACTCAACCCAACTCCAGTCAGATCTGCAAGGTACGCAAACCGGTTGTGCTGCTTTACTACGCAAGAAGACGCCATCGGGCCAAAGCTCCTATCACGAGACCATGTACTGACCCGCTGCTCCAGAGTACGTTTAAGCACGCTTGGAGTAATCCCGAGCTCCGTTCTCATCTACTTCAGCTCGACACCACCCTCACATCAACCTTCTTCTCACATCAACCTTCCCGCATCAACCTTCTCACATTATACACTTACACACACTTTACTCCACCAATTACACACTAACAAGTAAGTGTCTCTTGTCGTTATATCACTCGCTGATATCTACTCCACGCTGGTATCTACTTGTCGCTGGATTCACTCAAGCTCATAACGTCATCCATGGCTCGCCCTCAATGCGAGTAGTATACAATTCCACGCCAGATGCTGACCGTTAAACCTAGTGACTCGCTCCCACAAGTACACTGACCGTGACCACGCTGGCATTGCCGATGGCACTGCCGAGCGCGAAGCACGTCTTCCCAAGTACTTTGCCAAATCCGGTCATGCCGACACTGACCCAACCAAAACAAAGAAGGGCGGCAGCGGCAAAGGCAATTGGTAAGTCTTGCACCCTCCTGCCCATCCTCAGCAAATGTTCCGAAAGACCCGACGAATCTATTGCAGCGCTACCTGCTGTTCATCACATGCCTCCTTTCGCCCTCAAGACATAGTAGGCTGACAGTACATGCAGGGGTGCCATGGGCGACGAAGTCGAAGACATCAGGCCTAATATGGCCAATGCTCGCCGTCGAAGTAACTCATCGACCCATAACTTAAAGGACTTCAAGACCAAATTCGAGACTATCGAGACTGAGCCCGTCTTCGAAGAATCAATCCACGGCCCAATGGGTGAGGAGCTCGAGAAGCAGAGCACCACCTCTACCGAGAACAGCATTGCTGAGGAGGACCATGGCAAAAAGTTCTAGTTGTTGCAAGCACAAATGACGTGAGTGGTATCGGTATGGCTGCGGTTCGACTGGCTAGTTGATTCGTGGGAAGCCATTGCCTGGTGACTGCCGTCGGGTCTTTGGGACCATCTGTACAGTGTGGAGCATGTCGTTTTATTTACTACGTCGACAGCTGCGATGCAAAGCCTTCACTTCATGTACCTGACATAAATTGTAATAAGTAACTTTATGAGAAATGAGAAACGAATCTTCAAAACCCGCTTTCCGTTGCCTGGCGTGATGAAACAACAGCCAATCTGAAGGTTTGTGTTTGTGTTTGTGCTTGGTTTTTTCTCTGGTCAAGAACCACATTTGAGCCGGTGGGACACGCAGGAAGCGCCAGTTGCGTTCAGAGTTTGACGGTACCTGGGGATCCTTTTGGGCTTGTACTCGCAGTGCAACGAGAGCATATAGTGCATGGATGGGTAGATGAAAGCGCACAGGTTTGAGGGCGCAGCAGCATGCATGCATGCATGTGCAAGAAATCGTTAGATAGTCAATTCTGATGCGCCACGTTTGTGAAAGGTTGGCCTCAGGGTACGAGATCCGTTTGCAGAGCACGTTGTTTAACTCCGTGTCCTAGCGTTGATCGGATCCCTGTCACCAAAGCTTCCAAAACAGACGCATTCTTAGTTGTCAATCACCAACAACCCAAGCGAAGAGCCAACACCATCACCGGCGCGCTCTTTCGCGTTCTAAACCACCTCAAAACACACCGTCCATCATGTTTTCGCCAGAGGCTTCGATTCAGAGCGCGCGCAGCTCCCTGCGCAATCCCCGACGCCGCCAGCGCAAGGACTCGGACGGCCCCCAGCAGCAACGGAGCCGGAAGCGCAGTAAGCTCAACGATGAGGCCTTCAAGGACCCAGCCGGCGCGCACATGAATGGAAATGGGAGCGTTCAGATTAATGGTCATGCAGTTCAGAGCGTCGAGAATTCCGTCGTTCTGGTTGACATGCCCGTCCGCGAGAAGAAGACAGCACCAAAGCAGCGCGCGCCCAAAGAAGAGGCTGGCTCATATCTTGTGAGTCTACAGAGTAGCTCAGACATTGGCCATCACTGACAAAATACGTTATAGACAAAAAACGCAAACTACAGCGTAAAGAAACTCCCCGGCTTTCCGTCAGCGCTTCTCCGCCCTTCGAGTATGCCGCAGCCTCACACCGTCCGACGCGCGCTTGCTAACTGACATCACCAGCCCCCATATATGCAACCGCACTCCCCTCAGCTGGTCTCGCGCTCGCCCTGACTTCGGATCGAGCCCTCGTCTGGGACTATAGCAACCCGAACGGCCCTACAAAGGTCGTCTCCTTAAGTCTGAGCTTTGGTCTAAGACTATCTGAGCCTCTGCCATTAGGTGCCATCGTCCGCAACGGCCCTACGAACGACTTCGGTGTCGTCGCACTCGCGCCTTCGACAGGCAAAATTAGTTTCTGGGAGAGCATCGACAGCGCCGATACCCGAAGCCTCTATCCCCAGCGCCAACAAGGAGTGGAGGGCTTCGTCAAGCTATACTCTGGGGAAACCATAACCGACCTGGTAGACGTCGAGCATGCCGGCTATGTCCTGGTCTTCAGCAGCGGCAGGTTGGCTCAACTTACCCTGCGCGACTCACAAGGCAGACCCAATGTTGTAACCACCGTTCTGAGCGCGCCCAATAGTTCGGGTGGCAGCTTCTTCAGCCTCAAGGGCCTATTGGGAGGATCGATTCGCAAAACCATTGCCTCAGTCAAGGCCCGCACTTCGCAGTCAAAGGGCCATATGGATGTCATATCCGCAACAAAGAACGGACTCTTTCAGCTTTGGGATTTGAGCTGGTCAGGACAACATAGCCATCACCAGGATGTGGATGTACACGATTCAATTCTTTCGGCGCTCCAGGTTGACACAGTGCCGGAGATACGCAATCAGCAGGATGTGCATGTGTTGGACTTTGCGATTGTCGAACAACAGCAGAGACATGATGTTGTTGAGCTTCTCGTATTGGTGGCGCTGTCTGGTCGAGATTCGATAAATTATTCTCTCCTCGAACTGGTCTTATCAGGAACCGGAGGCACAGTCAACAGAGTAATTCCGCTTCGCAACTTTCACCAACCCCAGCTACCAAAGGAGCCCACCGGAACCCTGTTGGTCCCGCAACCCGGACACACCGCATATGTGCAGTTCCCAGGCGCCGTGTGTGTGACTGCGCTCACCCGACCCGAAGAAAGCCCTGAAGCACAACTACTTGCAGACGCCGGACGACCCAGCCTGCCTTTCCAAGACACAATATACTTCCGTCCAGATGTTACGATATCTGGGAATGCCCTGGAGATAGCACTACGAAAGGACAAGCGAGCGACCGCACTCATCTTTGTCCAACAATTCGGACTTTTGCAGATCAGTGCACTATCACCAAGTACGGACGAGCAGGATAATGAGCGAGCCAAGGTTACAGCACTAAGCAAGCTTGAGCAAGCAACATTCTTCAGCACTATTCCTGGCAACATTATTGATTTTTCAGTCAAGTCACGGTTTTCGTTTCCAGAGGAAGAGACTGCGGAGGCAGCGCGTGCCATTAGCGCTGGCATTTTGAGCTCATCCTACGACTACCTGGAGAAGACCACCTCAAATATGGACGAACAATTCCAGCAACGCACTAGCGCCTTGCAAACTTTGATCTCGCAACTGCAAAGCAATTACCCACCACTATCCTTTGATACAAAGTGGCGGCTGCTTTGGCACGCGGAAAAGCTAACGGCTGCACATAAGCTGTGGAACTGGTACCAGGACAAACTGCAGGATCAGCAAGCTCGTCCAGACGCGTATCCGGAAAAGATTCTAATGAGCGATATCATTAGAGCCCTGAATGAGCGCTACAAGACGCCCATTGACCGTGAACTTGGCGAGACCGATACTATCCGACAATTCTTCCTCAAGGATGTCGATTCACTAGGCGTGTTGATTCCTTGGGGCTGGTTCTACCTGCGAACCTTTTATATGAAAGAGGGCGCGAAGGAACAGGGGTCAATTATGCAGAGGCTCAGTGAAGGCACTGATGTCATGCTTGTGGCTTTGGAGGCTGCCTTTGAGTTTCGACAAGCCAATGTAGAATTGTATGGGCTCGATGGTGATTGTCTCGACGACGGCATTCTCAGACCAGAAGAAGGCTACGACCTGCTTCCCCAGTTCTGGACATCATCTCACAACATTGTCAGCTCAATTCGCAGTCTCATTGACGTTGGCCGGAATCTTGCCGTGGAAAACTACGAAGAAGGCTACCAGGAGATTCTTGCGCAAAAGATTGGCAAAGACAATCCTCGCCTGGTGAAGCTGGGTTGTCAAACGCATATCGAGCGCTTCCAATGGGCTCTTGCGCAGAGTGATGAGAAGACGCGAGCAATGGGCCGCAGCCTCAAGGATGAATGGAACAATAATGTCCGACCATCGCATATTATGGGCTTGATGGAGATTGGGCTCGCAACCGAAGGTATGAAGCTGGCTGAACAGTACCGGGACATGCCCACGCTGGTGAGCCTCATTTGGGAAGAGACGAACTGGCTCGAATCAGAAAAGGCGAGCACACGCAGCAAGATGGAGCAGGCGGAAAGCACAGTCAAGCTCAACCGGATCAAGGAGCGTATCGCGCGCTACTTTGCCATCTACGGCGACGAGTGGGCTGGAGCCTTCTACAACAAGTACATTACCGAGAACCAAGCGGGCCAGCTGTTCATGAAGGACTACCTCAACCAACCAGCGCTTACCAAGTTTTTGCGCTCTGAACCTTCACGTGTGCGGCTGGCATGGATCAACGATGTATGCGGCGAGAAAGATTACGAGGCCGCAGCCGAGGCACTGTACGAGGCTGGTTCGAAGCAGGAGACCAACTCGTGGTGTCAGCGTGTGGAGCTGTCCATGGCCAAGCTCGCTCTCCTGTGCAAGAAAGAGGTGAAAGAGGGCGACGAACAGCAACCACTGTTTGATGGGCGCCGAGAGAAGCCAAAGGCTCTGAAGATGCGCGAAGCCATGTTCCAGAGCATTGAACAGCAGTTGGAGTACACCAAGATCCAAGAGGAGGTCTACGAGCGACTGCTCCCTGTGATTACGGGTGCTCTAGACGAGGACTCTGCCATCGAACTGCTGATGAATGAGTTTGGGCAAGGCCGTCTCAAGGACAGACCAGCGCATCAGGCGATTCTCAAGGAAGGTTTTGAGAATCTTGTGCAGCACAAGGTGATTGATGCGGCTCTCATGATTGACATTCTTACCTTGATGAATGCGGATGACAGCGAGGAGGGTACGACTCTGCTGGGAGGAGACGAGTTCGTCTACGCCTTTAGAGTCCTAGTTGTGAGCTGGCAAAACATTCATCGGACGACACGCGAAGGCCTACTGAAGCTGGTGTGGAAGCGACTGGCTATCAAAGATGACTGGGCTACGATCAACAACACAAGGGACATTACCGACGCTAGGATCACCGATGTGCTCCGGGATACTGCAGTATCATGGACATTCCGGGCCTTGTTCAGGATGTGTGGTAAGCTGCCAAGTCTTAGCAAAGGGTATTCGTCCGCTAACGTTTCCGCAGCCGAGAACCCATTTGCTCGGATTGTATGGCCCAAGAGCCTGCGGGATCTTCTGGGGGCAGGGGATACGCATGGCGAGCTTTGCGTGCGCTTTGCAGCCGAGGATCTCCGCGAACCTATTATCAGGGACAACCTGCTTGACGACGATATTCTACAAGAGCACCTGGAGAAGAACAGGCTAAGCGACTGGTTCAAGGAAGCATGGAAGGCGGGCAGGGCAATGTATGACGAGGAGCTAGTGCTCGAGGGCAAAGCGCAAGCGGCGTCTGCCGAGCCCGAGATGACAGTCAATGGAGTGGGAGCTGAGGCTGAGGCTGAGGCAGAGATTGAGGCAGAAGCAGCAGGGTCGGATACATTTGATGGAGACGATGAGAGCGCGTTGGAGCAGGAACGCGATGTTGAGATGCTGGAGTC